CAGTTTCTTTTATTTTTATTACAGGAATGTATACATACAGCATAGTAATTACAGTATCGATAAATTTCCAAGGTACGTGAAGTTCTCTTCTTAGGTATTCTAGTCTTGATAAATTATCCATTAAATTCTGGAGAAAAGGAAACGCTCTTTCGGAATGCAAGGACAAGTTACTTCGACCCGACGCTGTTTCCTCGAATTACGTACGTACCCTTAATTGTAAGTGGAAACAGAGAGCACGGTACCATTAACAACGCTTTATGTACAGAACTCATCGCGTTGGAAACGTAAAAATGATCGGTGGAAAGGTGTTCGCATAGTAGTGAATTTTAATTGTAACCCGTCGGCCTTCGATGCGAACGAAAGATATCGCGTAATTACGAACCCGTTGTAAAAACCCGGCAGTAAATTTGCACCACAAACGATTCGAAAAGCGGCTCTCGTCAGATTGAACATTAAAGTTTAAACGAGTTACCGTCGACCGTTGCGAACGATGGCGACCGATTTTAACGTAAAATGTAGTCAGAGAATTACCTAATTCGAGCAACGCGCGAGAAATAGGATAAAGGCGAATCGTTTTTCAGCCTGGAACAAGTGTATAGAATAACTATTGCTGCTTACGTAATAAAACTAATCGCAATGAGATTGACATCGACGACCGCCGGTGGATGGTAAAAAATCACTCCATCACGATGCCAATTTTTTATAGACGAGATTTTTTACAAACAATGTTTGAAAACAGGATTATTGTAATCACAGCGCGAAGTTGCATTTAGACGAAACGAACGGACATCCGTTCGTCCCTGAATTTTGACAAAATTTGTGCTGATTTGATAATCGAAAGACACTTTCAGTGAATATGAACAAATGTTCGTCGTTCATAAAGCCTAAATTTGTTTAAAAAATCGAACGAACATTTGTTTATAAAATCGAATAATAATTCGTTGAGCATTTAACAAGCATAAATGAATGCTTGTTTTAGATCGACTTTTGTCCAACGAACATTCGTTTAGTTTCGATTCAGCTTCACTTGTCAAAGCATACGCACGTTTTGCTTGGAGCGATATAAACATAATATTCGACGGTGACGGGGCGGCGTACCTCGATTCGACGGTGGTCGCTTCACGGTTCTGGTTCTGGGGCAAATCCGTGGCGAGAAATCCATCGTTGCCTCGTTCATTATGTTTCGGGGTGGTCCAGCTTCGAGCATCCTCCTCGTCTATCACTCAGTGATCGTTTCGCTCGACACGATTCATCGAATACGTATCGCGAAACACGAGACGGGATGAAAGACGGGGTTGAAAGAAGGGAGGGAGAACACGGGCAAATAAAGGAGGAAGAGAGGGAGAGTAAGGAAGAGGAAGGAGAGAAAATATAGGCGGAAGATACGAGATATCGTAAACGTAGTAAAAGGCGAGGGGTGAAATTCGGTCGCGTGACCGACACTGACACAAGAGAACGTAGATAGTAGAAGAGGAAGAATGAAGCGAGGAGGTACGCGCGTTCGAGATAAAAAGCGAGGGAAAATGTCGCGCTCGAGACGGCGAGCGAACGCGAACTAAAGGGGCACGGGGCTCGTCGGCTCCGTCGCGCTCGACGTCGAGCTCGGCGACGAGCGGCGCTTCCTTCGTTTCGACGGCGCAGGACAGACTGATCGCGAGAACTCGCCGTCGTGCCATCCGAAGTCCAGCCCCAACCCCCGCCACCGACACCCTTTATCCACCCCTACCGCTGTTCAGCGTACCGTTCCGTTCTCCTCTTTTCTCTCCTGCTACGCTCCATTCTGTTCTGCTCTGTTCTACTCCGCTTTACTCCGAATGCTTTGCTCCGCTCCGTTCCGTCCTCTCCCAGCCAGTTCGCGTTGCCTTCCTTCCTTCCTTCCTTCCTTCCTTCCTTCCGTTTTACCCTCCTTTGACCTTCTTCTAAAGCTCCACTCTCTTTTACTTTCCACCTTCTGATTCGACTATTCAATCCCTTCTTCCTTTGTGTCAACGTCTTCCGGAGACTTGTAAAGTGACGAGACTGATTTCGTCCTTCCTAGTTCGGACAACGGCACATCGTTTCCACCGGTATTAAACGTATCCATCTTATGATTCGTACAATTGATCACTCGAATGCACGAAAAAGGATAGAAAAATTTTCAAACTGTAGAACAAATCAAATTCAGTTTAGCCTAGCTGTCGGAATACGTCCGACGAAAGCGCAAACTAGACCGACCTGAATTCCGTGATTCTTTCTTTGAATGCAGCACCGATGCATTTCCGTGCTGGTTTCGGAAAACGTACATAAATCGTAAATGATGAAACTACGTATTTCCGTGGTTAAATCGGCATTGTGCGTCTACCTGTTGCCGTACTCGCAGCGAGTTAACCGATCGGTTAACCACGGCGGGAATCGATCGCGATTTTTGTGGTTTAGTTACAGTATATTCAACGATCCCATAAACAAGAAAAATAATACATGCACGAGATCGAGATGAATGTCGAGGGTTGCATACCAATTCAGACACGAGAGCGTCGAACGACCAGGGGTTTAGAGTTGTTTTTGCGTTGACTCGAAAGAGCGACTCGAAGGGTTGCTTAAGAACGCCACCCTAACGAACCTATTTACATTCGATAATTAAACGAAACGGGGCCCACGCAGGGGAGTATAGGTACCGGGGACACACTCGAAAACAAAACTTGCAGCACCCCAAAGTCAGCTCCAGGCTGTCTACCCTACCACGATTAATAATGCAACTTTAAAACCCTCGCCCCCGAACGCCCGTTGTCTTAGAAGCGTGAATGGACGATATGAGTCAGGTTCCTCTTTGCCGCGCCATACGAAAATATACGAGCGGGTAGCTATTGTCGTGGCCACCCTCTTGTCGCGCGATCACCGCCAGCAAATAAGCGCGAACGAAACAAATGGGAGGAAAAACGAATCCGTGCGAAGAGCGAACCTTTCTCTTGTCTCTCTTCGAGCACAGAGGATACTCTTTGCAAACCGAAAATTGCGTACTGGCGTTCCGGGATCTTCGAAGGAGTACCAGGGAAAGAATTTCTTTTCCGGGCGACTGTTTCTCGACCCATGCGACAGGGTAGGACGAGAAAGAAAGTCGTTTCCTTTGTTCGAACGACTCTCGAGATTCGGATGCGCTTAACGATGAAAGTTTACGAAAGTTGAATCGATGAAAATCGCACGAGGAAGAACGTAAAGAGACAACGTAGCAAGAGAGAGAAGACAGAGAAAGAGAGAGAGAGAGACATTCGTCTCACGATCAGTCAGAGCGGCGAGTAATGGTCCATTCACACTTACTGTAACGGCTGTAACGACGAAGGGATTTTGCATGTTAGGCGACGAAATTCGGCGCTCGAAAGACGTCACCGCCGCAAGATGCAGTTTTGGTGTAGTAGGGAAAAGCACGGGGCCTCAGAGGACTCCGACGTAGTATACACTCTAAGGCTGTTACAGCACGTGTGAATGGACCATAATTCGTTGCATCGGCAAACGAATAAACGCGAAAATAGCGGTGAAAAAAAAAAGGAGGAATATAAACTCAGAGGCAGAGCGATGTAACGGGATGGAACATCATTGGCCGTGTTCCAGATTTTCCTAAAATCCCCGCGGGGAAGCTATTTGCCAAAGTTACGTGGTGAGGAGGGCCGCGCGCGGGAGCGGAGGACGGGCAGATGGAGGCAGGGTCGATACTCAGTTTCGCCGAGGATATAAGCGGATTTTTTTACACGCGCGATAATTGAAGTGCGGCGTTCATTGTTTTCCCGCCGCCCCTTTCGAGAGACCCCTTTATCTGGCGCGCCTTTCATCGGGTCCGGAAGCTTTTTCGTAAACAGTAGCCAGGCTGACCGGCGCGCGCGGCGCGATGCCCTCGCGAAAAGAGGTGCACGTTAATGGATAAACGAACGGCTGAATGATGTCTGCGATTTCGTGCATTGTTTCAATTTCTATCGCGTTGCCCTGCGCTCCGCGATTATAGTAATTTGGTTGCCCGATAGACCGGACGCGACTCGAACGATGCCCCTTGCTCGATTAATAAAACGCGTTACGAGCTTGCTTCCTCTTCTCTCTGCCGATAAATGACACGCGTTCCTGCGTCCAATTTTACAACGTATAAATAACAGTATCTAATTGTCTGTCGCCAATTTTCGCGCGTCATCTTCCTTCCGGTATCCCATAAAACCGTTTCTATTCTGTCGTCATTAAAAGTCTTACTGTTCTCAGTAGAGATACGTTTTCACGATTTGACTACGCCGTGAGATGAACGTAAGTTTGCACATCTCGTTATTATGATAACCGAAAGTGTTCGACGCTTATCTCCTTCGTTCGCTAACGTTTATGTTTAGAAGGGTGAGAACAGCCCCGTAGTTGACGGCATGAAACAAATATCTGAGAAAGTATAAAGATATATTTTTACGGGCAGGAGGAGACAGTGAAAATGACTTCGGAGTTGCAAAGACTGAAAAGTTGCCAGACGTCGTATTTGAATGTCGCGACAAGAGAAGTACCTAATAACTTTAAAAATGTTACGTGGAAATTGAACCTCCAATGACAGAGGGATTCTCATTAAAATCGACGCTCATCGATTGTTCCTAGTAAGTTCAGATCGAACGAAGACGTCGCACGTCGTCGCGTTGCGTCCGGCCATTGTTCGCTTATTAGGTTCCTCTTGTCCTCGGGGCGAGTTCGCGATCGCGTTCAGGGTAATTGAATTCCGGCTATTCGCTCTCGGCCGGTTGCGTATTATTGGGTCAGGGGATAGAAAGGATCCTCGACGTCGGCTCGTCGACATTATTCATGTAAATTGCCTGCCCAAAGGATACGGTTGCTTTCCTACACTCGCCTGCTCCCAGCAGGCTGTCTCCAGGTACCGCGTCTACCTTAGAACACGGTAAGCGTGTCGATGTAACCTTTACTTTACTTTTAAGTCAAGTTATCGTCGGGACGAGAATGAGGAAACAGTTCGTAACCAGGAAGAAACGAATTTTCGACCGTACGGTAGGGAAACAAGATGTCCTGTCGGTGATAGCATCCGAGATTGCGTGTTATCGGAGAGCTCTCTCTTGTTCTCTCCTACGAGAACATTGGCACCAGCTGGGAATGACGCCTCGCAAGTTTACGAACGTAGTTGCGAAACAGTTACACGCGACTTCCGTCCCGATGATTCGAGGACAATCATCTGGTTCTTGGGACGAGTCAAGTACCTGTGCTGCGTCCATACACCTTCACAGCGTTGAAATAAAAACACCCGGACCGGTAGTTCGTAGTACAGCGAATCACGGTAGCCGCAAGGAGAGAGTTGGTCGCCCGAAATCGATCGACGTTATTTAGAAATTTCCGTTTTTCCAATCTGGCATCCACGTCGCCCGTAAGCTCCTTTTATTCCCTGGTCCCGCGTCTCCGCCGAACCGTTCCATTCCACGCGCGATTTATTGATCCACGCACAATTCTACCTCGGCCACGGACTCAAACTCGGCCCGACCAGTGGCGCTCAATTACGCGTCAACATCCCCCATCCCTCTCTCCTCTCCAACATCCTCTTACATTAGAGGCGCAAGATTACTCGTTCTGGATTGCGATTGGTAGCGAACGTGACGTCTACTTTTACTTGAACTTCCTTTCATTCAGCAAATTGGCAGTCGAAATTAAATGTATTCAAAAAGTTGTTTCATCTGAAATAAACAGGTTTGACAAATCCGCCCTTTTTATCAGACGTGCCTTGGTGCGGATGACGCGGATGCGAGCCATGTGGTGTTGGATGAAGGAATTTTTCAACTAAACATGACAACGGAAACTTTAGTTTCCTAGAGACTGCCACGGATGTGGGTCCACGAAAATGGTAAAAATTCGACTGCTTCGGAAAGCTGGCTACGTTCTGTAATTGCAGCTAGGCGTTTCCATTACGAATTTAAATATTGATTCCCGTCAGAGGCGGCCGTAATGGAATCTGAAAAGCTTGGAAACCGACCTTTGGAGTATCGGTTTGGCCAGAATTCCAACCGCGTTCGGCTTCCATCCGCGTAACGTCGACAAAGCTGAGACCCTCCGTTTTCCGCCTCTTCTCTTCCGGTGCATTCAGAACGGTAGATCAAAATTGCCAGTAACCAAGCTAAGTCGCGGACCGCGACGGTGATCCGCTCGCCGCTCCGTCGGTCCGTCGCGATTCATTATTAACTACCCGGACCGACTAGACATATTCTTCTTCGTCCATTCTTCTCCCTTTTTTTCCTTTGCGGTTGCACGCGAAGGAGCGGAAAACGATCGATGCGAATATCGAGTGCAAGAGTCTCGCGGAGGGAAAGGTATTTCCTGCGAACGCGAATATCTGCACTCGCGCGTTCGCCCTTTTCCCTTATTGACATTCGATATTCGGGTTAAACGTGAACGCGCGCCAACTCGGAGAGCGAAACGATCCCACGATGAACGATGCATAAAGCGTTTCATCTGGACATTCTGGACCGTCATCGACATTCGTTATAGCTCTCCAGTCGAGGATCCGTCTATTCCAGATCCGTCGAACGCTGACCGCTGACAATTCGACGCAATCGCTCGCTTTTGATCACGATCGACCACTAAAAATCGATTCTATTTTTATCCGGAATTTTCTTCTACGATTCAATTAACATTTTCAGGAATTC